TTTTGATGGGTCAAAATGTGTAATTCTGAGTAAAAATGAGGGAGAGCATGTATACATGTGTGTATATGTATAAACACATGTATACACACATATATACATGTGTTTATACCCATATTGCATGAGCTATGGAGCAAAGTTTAGGACGTAAACAGGCTCAAAATCCCAGAGGAGGCTGAAACTTTCCTTCTGGTTAAATTTTGTTTTGTTAGATTAGCATTAGCATTAGCAGAGCTGGCAATCGTCTGGGAAACTGTAGTGTCGCCACCTACTGGTCTAGAGTCGTTAAACTGCTATATCTTCAGTAAACATTGCATGTTAATGTGTGTGATTTATTACTGATGGTACATGTGTATATATATAAATATATATACAGAAACATACATATATATGTATGTTTCTGTATATATATAAATATATATACAGAAACATACATATATATGTATATATGTGTGTGTATATATATATGTTTATATTTTTTTACGAACTTTACTTCCTCCGCTTGTGAATCAAAAAATTTTTTTTTTTTATTTACCTGGTGTTGGGTGGTCTATTACATTTTTGCAAAGATATTTGAAAGTTTGTATGATGTGTAACCATAGCAACCACAGCTATAATTATACACACCGAGAAGCAGCTCATTAATACCTCAAACGGGAATAATACTTTAACTACTTCCACTGATCCCAGTGAAGCTGGAAAGGAGGCGCTGAGGATGCAGAGCAGGGAGAGAGGAGGAGGAGGAAATCCAAGCCATCTCTTTCATCAATCATGAGGGGCAATGCAAGGGCTTTAGTAAACAACTAAGAATTTCTTTCTTGTTTTATGCAGAAACATCAAATTATGGTTGGAAAATATAAAAGCAAAGGTCTCAGTTTCAACTTTGCTAAAAAAAAAAGGGAAAAAAAAGAAAATATAAGGACATTTAATCCTTTAAAACGGTGCTGCAAGCAGCCGGCATTACCCCCCAGGGATAAAGGCTGAGTTCAAGTGTTTGTTTTGCTACTTAAAACATCTGGTTTATTCATCAAGTCGGAACATGGAGGATCCAGAGGCGACTAGTAGTATGAAGGAATGTTAGCGCCACGCTAGAGATTTATTTATTTTGAGAATAAGGTTGCAACATTACGAGAATAAATCATAATATTACAAGCATAAAGTCATCATTAGGGATGCACGATATAATCGGCCCCCTATCGGTGTCGGCCTTAAAACTGAATATCGGACATCGGCCACCCCACCGATATTTAACCCGATATTTGATCAGCTTCTGAGTTTCTAAAGTCTAAAAAAAATATATACTACTTCTTCCTCAAAAACTTCTTTTTTACAGACTTAAAAACTTCTAAAGACGAGGGAAAAAATATTGATCCATTAAAATATCCCAATATCTTCATATTCTGATATTTTGCCATTTACAAACACCATATCAATCTCTTTTACTAATGAAATATTGCTATATGTCATCGTTATGCTACGAAATCCCCCGAAAATTCACCAAATGTTGCCATATTTTTATATGTTGATATATTGACGCGGTATCGATCTATTTTACTAACAAAATCTCACACGAATTTGCAAAATATCACGAGAGTTTGTAACAGAACGATGAAATTTCACGAGATTTTGAAAGTAAAATAGATCGATACCGCGTTTTTAAAAATCAATTTGATATCAGCATATGAAAATATATTTGAGTATATTATTTTTCAAAGTGTCAGAAATGGATAACAAAACTGCTATTTTCAATGACTACTTATTTTTGTCCAGCTTTAACATCGGTATCGATATCGGATATCAGCCAAAATCGTGCATCTCTAGTCATCATACCACAACCTGTTTCAGAAAGAAAGCTTGTAGCTCCGCCCATCAGATGACGTCCGACCAGCTCCACCAATCAGCAACCAGAGTCCACTTTGACATCCTGCCCAGTTTGATGCTGCTGCTAAAAGATTTCCTGATTTGCCAAACCGATGCTAAAGTATAACTTCCCACGATGCTCCACATTCCACATTTTAGGGAAGAAAGGGATTCTTTTAAGAGTTTTCATAAAATAAAACTTTATCCTCGTAATTTTACGACTTTATTCTCGAAACAGAAAAAGAAATCTCTAGCCTGGCCGTAACAGTCCGTCATAGAAATCAAATCAGAGCACACAGACGGCCGTGTTGGAAGGGATGATAAATCCGATCACTGCAAACAAAACAAAAAGTAGGATTCTCAAACCCTTTCATTTCCTAAATTAAAAAAATAAACATCAAACATACAAAGAGATCATTAAAGTTCATGTTTAATGAATAAATGTGCGTTTTTATCGTCCACTTCCTCCTTGCTGGCTAAACACTACAGGTCCTCCGATGTAAACCTCAGATGAGCCTCACTCCACCATGAGGTCAAGAGAAAAAACTAAAACAAAAAATGATGGTTGAAAGGACTGAAAAGTGCTATTTGAACAATTTACCTTTTTCTGGGAGATGAAGGTAACTACTGATAGGCAGGTTTGCTCTCCTTTAGAGAAAATGCACTAAACGTTTCCCACATATGGGCTCAAAACCGCAACACAATCACATTCTAGAGGTAATATATATTTATAGAACTGTGTATATATAGATATATAAACAAATTACAATTTTAGTTAGAATTTGTTAATTATATTAACTTTTTAATTCACAACAAGGGTGATTATTTTCTATTTTTTCTGGCTCCTCTTCTTTATTTACATTCAGTTAGTTCTGAGAACGCTTGTTTTGTTGTAGATTGAACTCGAACGGCGTCGGGTCCGAATGTCGCGGATCCACAGCAGGCCTCATTATCAAACCACCGATTAACTCGTTAACGTGTCCTTCCTTCTCACGGAAAATAAATAAATGAAAACTTGCGTCGAGCCGCCGCGCGGGTCGTTTTGACTCGAGGCACGCCATCTTTGGATTAACCCTTCGTTCTTTGTCCCACTTTAATCATTCTGTCTGATTTCTCTTTACTTAATTCGATGCAGTTTGAAGCTGTAATTTATTCATGTTAAAAAAAAACGTGACGTGTTAAAAAGTTTTAAGCACAAATTTTGCAATAAAAATTGGAAAATAAAAGGCTGTAGTTTTTATTACATTTATTCAGCAGCAAACAAGTTAAAATAAACAAGAAAGAATAGTTTGGCTAAAGAAAAAGAAAATTAAAAATCAGGTGGCACAGTTATTAGTAATCCCAACAATCCCTAACTTTAGGATTTTCTTATTTTTATTCTACTTTTCAACATGAAGTGAAATAAAGATCCATTTTTAATTGAAGCAACCGGCGCCTCGTGCTGCGTTTCACACTGAATAAGGTTTATAGTTCTAAAGGTTCTGCTGTTTGCCAGGATGTGATGGGATTTTTTTTCAGGTCTCCCAGTGAAAAGTTTGGCAGCAAAACCTTTTTCTGCACGATGCCAACATTTCATACACATTTAAAGGATGAAAAATGGGATAAAAATGATGAAAACAGTTCATCGAGCTTAATAGGGCTTAATATTTTAAAAGTTTTACTGGTGTTGATCTGGCAGCCTGGGATCATCAAGTCTGCCTGTTTCCCACCGTTACTGGGACTTTACCTGCAGCTGCGTACAGAGTTCTTCTCATACGGAGTAGGGTTGTTAAAAGTATCGAAACTCAAAAAAGTATCGATACTGAAACGTTGTATCCGGATACAATACTCGTTTTTAAAAGTAACGATACAGTGCCACCACCAGTGGCACCTAAGCAGTCATTCATCTAAAGTGCAGAATAGAGGAAAATGCACTTTTAGAACACTGTGTGATTGAATAATTCTACGCACTTTTCAGTTTCAGACTTTTTTTTTGTAAGAGGTGCAGCTGCTGAGAATTATTTTTGTTTCTTAACCGGTTTGGCTAGTGTCATTGTTATGTGTGCAAAGCATAGCCAAGGAAGGAACACTTAATTTTAATTTTATAAGTTTTTTATCAAGCTTGCTTAATATTGTGCACAGCATACAACCTTTATTGTGTTTATTTATTGTATTTTATTTATTAATGAAGATATTTCTGTAGAATTTTGGAGTCTTTGTTTTTATCCTTGTGGTATCGAAAATGGTATCGAGTATCGAATATTTTCCTTAGTATCGGTATCGAGTTGAAAAGTTTAGTATCGTGACAACCCTAATATGGAGTGAATTTTGTTCCATTATTATAACAATAAAAAAAAAAATATTAATGGAATTTAAAACACATAATGCAAAAAATAAACTTTGAAAAAACATACTGACCATATAAAATTTTTGAGAGAAACTTTGATGTTTGCCAAAAAAAAAAAAAATTAGCAAACATCAAAAGCTTTTATATTGTCAAATGTTACTTTTTTTCAAATTGATTTTTACGAATGTCTTTTTATGTAAATTGCATTTATATGATCATATTCTCTTCAAGCCTAATCCAACAATCCAAACACTCGCTTTGGACCAATAAAAGCGCTGCTGCTAACGGCCAGTAGACCAATAGAAATGTGTCTTTGCTCCTCACTCAACAGGAAGAGCAAAAGCATCTTTTCCTCTGAGAAAAGCCTCCAGAGCAGTCTTTTGCTCTTCTTTCAGTGAAGAAATACTCTGTAATTCCGATAAAACTTGCTCGATAGCCACGCTAACGCTAGTTTCATCGGCTGAAGCCGCCATGTTCTTTAGACTGAACTGTCGCGCTTCTCGTTGCGTCACACCTCAACCCGCCTCAAAGCCAACGCTTATTGGACGTTCGTTTGGTGAACGGCTCCAAATTTTCTTTAACGGAGAGTCTCCAGACTGATTAGCGAGTGAAATCTTGATCAGGATGGTCTCACGAGGCTACCCCCCCCCACAGAAAAACAATAATGGGACAAAACTCACTCCATAGCCTAAAACAGTCATTTCAGTTCGGTATGAAATAAAAAAGGAGGAATTTTGTAAAAGCATGAAAGAGGATGTATGATGTCGTGGGCTTGTTTCGCCTCCATAGGATCCGAGATTTTTATTTTTCTGTTTGGGGGGGGGGGTTGCGTAAATCATTACCAATAACTGTGCCACACGTGTTTTTATTTAAAAATAATCCTGAATGCTGATGAGTAACTGTAGTAAAAACAAAGGTTTTTTCCATGGTTTCAGTGTTAGGATACGCTAACGCGATTAAAGACTCGTTAGGACGCCTTTACAGGAGATCCCAACGACTCGTAGGTAAACCCGATTCTTCCTTCTGAACTCTAAACTGAATTAGCAGAGAAAAAAAAGGGCAGAACGGAAATGCAAACTGATCCATGATGAAGAGGAGCTTCCTCCTGCCGATTCCTTTGGCCTTGCTAATGAGCCTGAGGCGCCGTCTCTTCCCATTCCCATCCAGCGGATTGTTAGCGGTGCTAACTGGTGTGCGGGTGATCCCGTGTTCTTCTCTTCTCTAATCGGCGGCAGGCTTTTAACCGTTCAGGAGGTAGACCACCAGCTCATAGGTGCACATCATGATGGCGGTGTTGGGGATCTGGCGTACCAGGTGGGTGGTGAGGCCGCGGTACAGGGCCCGGTAGCCCTCCTCTCTGGGAACTGTGGTTAGAGTCTGGAAAAAGGAGCAATACTTGGTGCCCTCCTCTCGTAGCCTGGTGCGGATTACCTCTGCAAATGGAAAATGCAACGTTAAAAACAACCTTTGGCGTTTATTCAAGTGGCTAAAACATCTCTGACTCTCACCATGAGGATAAGCAATAGATGTGGCACAAGTCTTAGAAGTGGCGGCGGCGAGCATCATCCCGAAAAAGTCCCAAGCGTCTTTTGATGCATCCTCTTCCTCCTCCATGTTCTGTGGCGTTTTGGCCACCAGGAGGCGCCGCTTAATGTTTTCATAGATAACAAAGTGGATCACAGTCTCTGAGATGCCGGCGTAGGACGCAGACATTCCCCTATAGAAGCCCCGCAGGCCGTCCGCTTTATAAACACGACGGACGCAATCCAACGCGCTCATCCTTCGCTCCCCTCGGTTCCTGAAAACGGAAAAAACACAAACGGGAGAATTAGAGGCAGTGAGACGAGGAAGAAACACCCAGAGGGTTCAGATCGGCATAAACGGAGACGAGTGAAAAACCGGTGGGAGGCGACATGGAGAAGATGAGCCGCAGGAGTCGTTTCCTCCTGACATGAAGCCAAACTTTTAGACTTTAGACAGATTTAATTTTCATTTTGTTTACACAAAAAAGAAATTTTATTGGAAACAGATCCCTCAAACTGCAGTCAGTCTACGACGGCCTTTTAAGAAACCTTCAGTCCAGATTAGATTTAGGAAAAAAAACACATTTATGTTGGCAGATTGTTAAACTTTAGATAAAATTTCGTTGCTCTAATGAGTCTGCATTTTTTTTCTCTCCCAAAACAAGCTGAGAAGTATGGAGGACCAACTCTGCCATAATTAAAAATAAATAAATGCTCAATAAATAAATAAGCATACAATTAACTGCCACCAAAAACACAATAAACAAATAAATGTAAGTAGAAATTAAATTATACAGTGAGACATAAATGTATATAACTCTTTTAATTAGCTTCTTTATTTATTTCCCTTTGTAATATTTACGGTATTTATTTTTTTGTCCTTTATAATCTTCAACTTTATTTTTTAATTACTTATATTTTTAAGTATTTATTTATGCGTATGTTATAATATTTTTGTCCGTTGTATTCTTCTTTTATATTTTTTTACCCTAGTTATTTCTTCGCTCTATTTATTTCTGCCCTTTTTACTGTGATCAGTGATCATCCGAATGCCTTTCCACATCCTCATGGTGTTGCCGTCGTCGTGGAAAAGATCCTGGATCTTCTGGCTGTGGTTCTGCTTCTCTGATCTGATGGTTTAAGTTGCCACACGCTGTTCTTAGTTCCTCTTTATCACCAGACTTGAAAGCTGAGTTCGGTGCTTTTAGCGATTTCTGAACCTCTCTATTTATCCAGGGTGGTGATGTTCCTTTTGAGGCTGACGTCCTCCATGCATTTGTTGATGTAGGCTGACACAGTCATGGCATACTCATCAATATTTAATAAGTTATCATATGTTGCTGCAGCCTTGAAGATGTTCCAGTCAGAGAATTCAACACAGTCTTGTAGTGTCTCCATGGCGCCCTCAGACCACACTCTGACCTCTTTAACTGTCGGTTTAGCGCTGATCAGCTGCGGCTTGTATGCAGGGATAAGCATGACAGATAGGTCAGATGGGTCTGATGACCAGAGGTGGGAGCTGCTCTGAATGCATCTTTGATGTCAGAGTAAACCAGGTCTAAAGTGTTTTCACCCCGAGTTGCAAAGTCCACATGTTGGTAAAAATGAGGGAGAACTTTCTTCTTGGTAAAATCCCCAGCAATGATAAAAACAGCCTCTGTGTGCAGACTGGAGCTCAGAGATAGTCTGGTATAGAGTCTTCATGGCCTCTTTAGTGTTAGCGCTAGGGGGCACAAAAACAGCAGTGATGCTAACCGCACTGAACGCTCTGGGCAGATAGAACGGCCTGCAGTTAACAGTCGGAAACTTGAGATATATATACATATACAGGTGCTGGTCATAAAATTAGAATATCATGAAAAAGTTGATTGATTTCAGTAATTCCATTTAAAAAGTGAAACTTGTATATTATATTCATACATTACATACAAACTCATATATTTCAGATGTTTATTTTGTTTAATTTTGATGATTACAAATGACAACAAATGAAAATCTCAAATTCATCATATCAGAAAATTAGAATATTGTGAAAAGGTTCAAAATTGATGGCCCCTGGTGCCACACTCTAATCAGCTAATTAACTCAAACCACCTGCAAAAGCCTTTAAATGGTCTTTCAGTCTAGTTCTATAGGCTACACAATCATGGGGAAGACTGCTGACTTGACAGTTGTCCAAAAGACGACCATCGACACCTTGCACAAGGAGGGCAAGACACAAAAGGTCATCGCTAAAGAGGCTGGCTGTTCACAGAGCTCAGTGTCCAAGCACATTAATAGAGAGGCGAAGGGAAGGAAAAGATGTGGTCGAAAAAAGTGTACAAGCAAGAGAGATAACCGCACCCTGGAGAGGATTGTGAAACAAAACCCATTCAAAAATGTGGGGGAGATTCACAAAGAGTGGACTGCAGCTGGAGTGAGTGCTTCAAGAACCACCACACACAGACGTATGAAAGACATGGGTTTCTGCTGTCGCATTCCTTGTGTCAAGCCACTCTTGAACCACAGACAGCGTCAGAAGCGTCTAAAGAGAAACAGGACTGGACTGCTGGTGAGTGGTCCAAAGTCATGTTCTCTGATGAAAGTAAATTTTGCATTTCCTTTGGAAATCAAGGTCCCAGAGTCTGGAGGAAAAGAAGAGAGGCACTTCATCCACGTTGCTTGAAGTCCAGTGTAAAGTTTCCACAGTCAGTGATGGTTTGGGGTGCCATGTCATCTGCTGGTGTTGGTCCATTGTGTTTTCTGAGGTCCAGGGTCAACGCAGCCACATACCAGGAAGTTTTAGAGCACTTCATGCTTCCTGCAGCTGACCAACTTTTTGGAGATGCAGATTTCATTTTCCAACAGGACTTGGCACCTGCACACAGTGCCAAAGCTACCAGTACCTGGTTGAAGGACCATGGTATCCCTGTTCTTAATTGGCCAGCAAACTCTCCTGACCTTAACCCCATAGAAAATCTATGGGGTATTGTGAAGAAGAAGATGCAATACACCAGACCCAACAATTCAGAAGAGCTAAAAGCCACTATTAGGGCAACCTGGGCTATCATAACACCTGAGCAGTGCCACAGACTGATCGACTCCATGCCACGCCGCATTGCTGCAGTAATACAGGCCAAAGGAGGCCCAACTAAATACTGAGTGCTGTACATGCTCATACTTTTCATGTTCATACTTTTCAGTTGGCCAACATTTCTATAAATCCTTTGTTTTTATTGGTCTTCAGTAATATTCTAATTTTCTGATATGATGAATTTGAGATTTTCATTTGTTGTCATTTGTAATCATCAAAATTAAACAAAATAAACATCTGAAATATATGAGTTTGTATGTAATGTATGAATATAATATACAAGTTTCACTTTTTAAATGGAATTACTGAAATCAATCTACTTTTTCATGATATTCTAATTTTATGACCAGCACCTGTATACACCCTACGGTTCAAAAGTTTGGGGTCACATTGAAATGTCCTTATTTTTGAAGGAAAAGCACTGTACTTTTCAATAAAGATAACTTTAAACTAGTCTTAACTTTAAAGAAATACACTCTATACATTGCTAATGTGGTAAATCACTATTCTAGCTGCAAATGTCTAGTTTTTGTTGCAATATCTCCATAGGTGTATAGAGGCCCATTTCCAGCAACTATAACTCCAGTGTTCTAATGGTACAATGTGTTTGCTCATTGGCTCAGAAGGCTAATTGATGATTAGAAAACCCTCATGTTCACACATCTGAAAACAGTTTAGCTCGTTACAGAAGCTACATAACTGACCTTCCTTTGAGCAGATTGAGTTTCTGGAGCATCACATTTGTGGGGTCGATTAAACGCTCAAAATGGCCAGAAAAAGAGAACTTTCATCTGAAACTCGAAAGTCTATTCTTGTTCTTAGAAATGAAGGCTATTCCATGCGAGAAATTGCTTAGAAATTGAAGATTTCCTACAACGGTGTGTACTACTCCCTTCAGAGGACAGCACAAACAGGCTACTGCGGGTACTATTTAATGAAGATGCCAGTTGGGGACCTGTGAGGCGTCTGTTTCTTAAACTAGAGATTCTAATGTACTTATTTTCTTGCTCAGTTGTGCAACGCGGCCTCCCACTTCTTTTTCTACTCTGGTTAGAGCCTGTTTTTGTGTATATATATATATATATATAATCTGAATTGAATTAAAATTAAAGCAGAAGAGAAAAGGACTTTTCCTTTTGTAGCCTTTGCAAGTTGAACAGAGGACATCTTAGCTCTGTCCCAAACATGGATCTGCAAAGCTTAAACTATTTAGCATTCCGTGAAAAACAGCTCCCAAAGCAGCTGGTGGTGTTGTTCCCACCAGAACCATCCTGCAGTTTCTAAATCTGCCATCCAAGTGTAATATTTACCTTGCATCCAACTGTAGGCGCGTCTTTATGAGCCATATTGGATTTGTAGCTGTGATGGCGGTGAAACCTAAAGGGAGGGGAAAGGAAGGAGAAGATTACACATCCAGAAACTTCCAAAACGTAATAAGCTTTATTTAAATGTGCAGTCAGTGACATCTAACTGTACTGTAACATCACAGCAATGTGTCTAAGTTCTTAGGTTCAAGTCGGTAAGACAATAAATCGCTAAAAAATTTGTTTTATAAGAACATGAATCTAAAAGTCCATAAAGGCATCTGACAGAAGAAATGGACGGTGGGGGGTGTAACAGGGAGGCTTTATTTATCTCTAACAGCTTCAACAGATCGAAGGAAAAGAGTATAGTAAGAGAAGAGGACAGAAACAGGAAGCAGAAAGAGGCACAGATCTGTGGTGAGTACTCACGCAGACCCAAGTAACTCCTGACAGATGCAGCTAGAGACCCCTGGTGGTGTGGGGGTCTCATGCCCTTGCGAGAGGAGAGCTACGGTAGGGTAAAAGCCTAAAACAGACACAGGCTAGTGTGTAGCAACATGACCGGCATGCAACCATTTGTCTCCCACTCCCCCACATTTACACAGAAGGATTCAACCCCCCCCCCCCCCAAAAAAAATACCCCCTGGTAGAACCCATCACCTTCAAACAGACCTCAGAAGAAAGCATCAGGGACAGATGAACATTACAAGTTATAATTTAAGAAAACTTTTTAGTGCTATCTAGGGCTGCAACTAACGATTATTTTAAAAATCGATGAATCGGACGATTATTTTTTCGATTAATCGATGAATCGGACAAAAAATATTTTTTATATTAACCTCTTTATTCCAAAATAAACATTATAGACAGAACAAACAAGCACACAAGTACAGGTTGCTCATTAACTGTACTGGTGCAATATGAAAAATAAATGTTTGTGTTAAAACTACGCAAACTTACATGAGAAATGTAGATGTACATCCACAAAATATAGGGTACTTTGTTTCATAAAGCGCAAAAAAAGACATTTTTGTTTTTAAAAGCCTCTAAGGGGTTCAAACAATAGGCCCCCCCATTTCAACAAATGAGTTTTTTTAGACTAGAAGAGTTCTGCCTTTTAAGACAGGAAAGTACAGCAGTTAAAGTTGCTACTTGAGAAAATACTGAACCATAGAGATAAAAATAGCCCTGTGATTCAAATTATAAATTGTATTTGGAATAAAAATGAGAGAACTAGGGGTGCTAAAAAACACATCCTCCAAAGACAGATCTTTACATGGGAATGTGGCATATAATTAATTGACATATTACTGATCTTGCTGGATTTTATTCTGCTTTACTTCTATAAATTGCAGGATCATCTTTACTTTATCTTTGCCAGAAGATTTAAACTTTAAAAGCCTTGCCCTCATAATTTGCAAGTTAATTTCTTTATAAAGTAAATGTAAACGCTGCTTAAGCTAATTCAAATGAAATGAAAAGTAAAATAAGTAGCCAACCTTATCACTGTCTGTAACCTACTAACAAGATAAGGAAAGCATCAGATGAGCTACCTGAGAAACTAACGTAACGTTTCCCCACTTTAAAACCAAACAAACATGGTGGTTCCGTGCCATGTTAATTTCTTTTGAAAAAAGTTGCATGTTATCACTTTTTTCACTTTACAAAGCGCAGGCTATTTTAATTATTGTGATCAATTTGCGCCGTCAATCCCGGTGCATGCGCGCTTCATTTGCAGTCTGGACGCTGAGGCTTTGACTGAGAGGGACTCCTGCCGGAAAACGCGGTTGGGGTGGGGGAGGCGCCCCACGGCAGAGTAGGAATGATACATGCTTTCACGTAAGAGTCTCCAAAAGCCACCAGTGACACCGAAAAAAGTCGCCAGATTTGTCGCTAGTCGCTTTTTTGAAAAATAGTCGCTGGAGGGGTCTGAAAAGTCGCGGAGTTGGCAACACTGCTCCTGCGGCGCTGACTCGCTCTGCCGTATTTTTTTTCCTTCCTCTTTCAGTCAAGAGGCAGTGATGACGGCGCAGCGGATGACGCAATAATCGCGCGACACAACTAATCGATGATGAAATTCGTTGCCAACGCTTTTAAAAGTCGATTTTTATCGATTTTATCGATTCGTTGTTGCAGCCCTAGTGCTATCTAACATTTAAACAATAGAATTTAAAATCCTCCTTCTCACATATAAAGCCTTAAATGGCCAAGCTCCATCTGATATCAGAGATCTGATTGTTCCTTATGTTCCTAACAGAGCACTTCGCTCTCAATCTGCAGGTTTACTAGTGGTTCCTAGAATTTCTAAAACTAGAATGGGAGGCAGATCTTTTAGTTATCAGGCTCCTCTCCTGTGGAACCAGCTATACCTCTATGCTACTATAGGCTTAGGCTGCTGGAGGACATGGAGACAACTTTTCATCATTCAACTTCTAACCTAATGCTCTCTTTTTTTTTTTCCCATCATAGCAGCTTCATCTGGTCTGTTCCAGTTTAACTGACATCATCCTAGAGGTAAAAGTATCAGCTGTGCTGCTTTCATCAAACCCTTAGATTGAAGATGGTAAAGTTATGTCTGTTTTTCAGTGCTTAATTCTGTTTCTCTCCTATAGGCTCAGCTCTTACTGTGCTCTCTTTCATCCTTTGACATGAATACTGACTGTCTATTTAAATGCTTCTTTCCCCGACTGATCCCCTGTGGAGCTAGTTTACTGTTAGCTTTTCTAACATAATGTGGGCAGTGTGCCGGAGCTAACAGGAGAAAAAAAATACTGAGGTCCAGACCTCCCGGTCCTCAGTGGTAGCTACGGCTACGTTTTTAACGTTGGAGTCTTGTAGAACAGCTTACGCCGCTTTGCTATGCTACTGAATTGTAATTCTAACTTTGATTTATAAATGCATCTAGGGCGAATTAGCCTGGTGCCGTGGATTAACCGCTAGTTTAAACTCTATGGCTGTGTCTGAATGTCCGTCCTAATCACTATATAGTGGTTACCTCATTTTAGATGAGTGTTCGGACATCTAGTGGATGAAAAAGTAGTGAACTCGGAAATTCCCACAATTCACCCTGAAACGTAGTGATCGTAGTGACAAGCAGATATATCCCAGAATGCTTTGCAAGAGCTCTCTTAGCAAAGCATTGTTGCATTCGTTGTCATAGCAGAGCATTGTTACTACCCGACAGCGGCCACTGATAACAAAGATGGCATATGCACCATGTGGGGAGGCGGAGTTACGTGACCAACGGGGAGTGAAAAGTAGTGATCATCTGTCTGACCGGTCAGTTAACCGAGTTCACTATAGAGTATATAGTATATAGTGATGGAGGGATTTAGGGGTTAGGGCGGACGTTCGAACATAGCCTATGATTCAAACATCAGACTTCTGTATAACGGTTTGTCTCTGTCAGTTTTCTGTCCCTATAAAATGAACGAAATACATTTCTTTTTGAGTTTTTTTACAGCACTAGGGGCTCGTTTTTTTTCAACAGGCTGACACGAAAGGGGGTTCAACTCCGCTAGATGGATTTGCTCCGCATATCCATCTGGAAACCTTCCGTTGAAGTAATTTTGGGAAGGGGCGAAAATACTGGTTAGCTGATTGGCCTATGTTGGGGATAGACGGGCCAAATAAACCAATCAGATCAACGAAGCATATGACGTACTAACAGAGCAACGACGAAGAGGAGCCAATTGATAGATCAAAGTCTTGCCGAAACCAGTCGGGAGAAGAGCAAAAACATATTTTCCTCTGGGAAAAGCCTCCAGAGCAGTGTTTTGCTCTTCTTTCAGTAAAGAAATATTCTGTAATTCCGATAAAACTTGCTCGATAGCCACGCTAACGCTAGTTTCATCGGCTGAAGCCGCCATGTTCTTTAGACTGAACTGTCGCGCTTCTCGTTGAGTCACACCTCAACCCGCCTCAAAGCCAACGCTGATTGGACGTTCGTTTGGTGAACGGCTCCACATTTTCTTTAACGGAGAGTCTCCAGACTGATCTGAAACCTTGAAAGCTCGCGAGATCAGGATGGTCTCACGAGGCTAGAGATATGCGGCAAAGGACCACAGGCTGGATTCAAACCCAGGTCGCCCGAGTCGAGGACTAAGGCCTTCATACATGGGTTGTGTGCGCTTACCACCTGCATGGCCGAAATAAATAAATTAATAAGCGTTTGTTGCAGTCGCTGCCAGAGCTTTGACTGTTACCATGGTGATGACAGCTTATCGTTCTGGTTGTGCGAGGGAAGGCCATCGCAAAGGGGAGGGTGCAGTTATACCCAGCAGCGCCATGAAGGGGAGCTAGTTCAGCAGCGAGGGGGCTTCACAGCAAGTAAAGTATGAGGTGAGCAGGTGGAGGAAGGAGCCTTTATCTGTAACAGCGCTCCATGACAGGAGCTGGTGCTTTAATTTGTTGACAGTCCATCCAGCTCAGCCTAACGGCGCCAACACTGAGGAATGTGTGGAGTGGAAGTGAAGTTATGCCCGCTGACACATGCCAACCTAGAGCTTTAAAAGGCCAAAGTTACGGTCGGCTAACGGCATTCGGTAGAGGACTGCAGTCTCCTCAGATACCACAGACCCTCAAAGCTGTGGCGGCTCGACTGTCTGATCCGTTTTGGCTTGGTTTAACGTTTCCAGAGTGATCAGTCCCTCAGAGGAGGAATCTACAAATGGCACCGCTGCTTTATAGCATCCAACTGAGATTTTAGCAAAAGCAGATGTTTGCAAAAGGTTTGACAACCTCAATGCATCTTTGAGGTATTCTATGTAAAGGTACAATTTAAAGTATTGTATATTTATCATGAGGCAGAATATTGAACCTAAATCCTTTCCATCACTGTGATCAGGGCCGCTGCTTCTCTATTCTACAGCAGGGATTCCCAAACATTTCACAAAGTCACACAAAACAATTAAATGCTACGATGTATTAGGGCCAGGCTAGAGAGTTATTTTATTTAAATATGAGAATAAAGTCATAATATTACAAGAATAACGACATAACATTATGAGAATAAAGTCGTACATTTACGAGAATTAACGATAAAGTTGCAAAACAACAAGAATGAAGTCATCAGACAACAAGCCGATTCATAAAGAAAGCTTGGAGCTCCGCCCATCAGATGACGGCCGACCAGCTCCACCAATCAGCAACCAGAGTCCACTTTGACATCCTGCCCAGTTTGATGCTGCTGCTAAAAGATTTCCTGATTTGTCAAAAATAAAACTTGTTTTTCGTAATTTTCGTGACTATTGTCTTTGTGACTTTATTCTCGCAATTTTACGCCTTTATTCTCGCAATTTTATACCTTTATTCTCGCAATTTTACACCTTTATTCTCGTTGAAGCTTTATTCTAATGTAACGCCTTTATTTTCATAATTTTACGACTATTCTCGTAATTTTATGACTTTATACTCGTAATTTTATGACTTTATTCTCGCAATTTTACGACTTTATTCTCGTTGAAGCTTTATTCTAATGTAACGCCTTTATTTTCATAATTTTACGACTTTATTCTTGTAATTTTATTACTTTATTCCCCTGAATTTATTACTTTATTCACGAAATAATAAAAAAAATAATAATCTCTTGCCTGGTCCTAATACGATCCACTAAAAATACATATTTACCTAAATGATTCCCTATTCATTTACAGAAGTGAACTAATTATATTTATTTTAAACATATTTATTTTTATTAAAAAGGCATTTAACTAGTTATTGCACCATTTGAAATTATTTTTTTTTTATCTAATATCTGACTTTCAATTATTTAATATAATATTTAATTGGCGTTTTCTTTCTGATAAGTATCCTTCCTTCTAGGTACGTTTTTGGTTCCTGTCTGGTTAATAAAATAAAGCGTTTAAAGGCAGAAAGACTGCCTGGAAGCCGTTTCTTTCTGAAAAGAAAAATGATTTAAATCCAAGCCGCTCTTTTAAAGTCGACTGGGACATTTAATCCATATTATGGACGTAGAATCTACAGACGGATCAGTTTTCAGTTTTAGCCAGACTGGATTTGAGTCAAACAGTATCAGAAACTTTTAATTTTAATCTCGGAAAACGACGCCGTTATCTGAACACAGACTGAATATTATATTTTAACATCGTTTTTTCCTCTCTCCATTTTCCTGTACAGCCCCAGTTGCTGATGTGTATCGTTTTATTTAGGGGTGTTCAACTATATAAGGCCTGTTAGTAATACATCAAACTTTTTTTTTTATGGAGTGGATTTTGTTACATTATTGTTGAAAGCAAAAACATATTTTGTAAATTAAAGTTTGAAGAAACAAAAATTCCTGAAGATAATCCAGAAATAATAGATTAAAAAAAGGTTTTAATTGCAAACTAAGAGCAGATTTTCAATATTGGTCTATTTTTAAGTATTTTATATCTTAATTTTGCTATTCTTTTATTTTCAATATTTGTTTATATTTCTATTTTTATAAATTAACTCTTTTTTTCTGTTCAAATTGCATTTATCAGATCACATTTTCTTTACTTCCAGGGGGCGGGGCTTCCTCTGGAGCAAAGAAGCATTTCTATTGGTCAGCATGAACGTTAGCAGCAATGTTTTCATTGGTCAGGAACGAGCGTTTGGATCGAAGCGAAGAGATTGGGATCTTTGAAAAGCAATATGAGAAGAATGAAATTCGTAAAACTCAATTTAAAAAAATTATAATTATAAAGTAATTTGGAAAAAAAAAATATTGGAAAAATAACATTTGTAAAATAAAATGGAAAATATAAAATCTGCACAAAATACAGAAGATTTAAAAACAAATGTTAATTTAGAAAAGCAAAAATAATGATGCTCATTGTTACTTTCCAAGTTGGAGAAAGTGGGATTATTTTCTCTGCTGGCTGGTTGGAACAATGCGGCTCCTTCTACAGTCCGGTTTTCTCCGGTTTTCTCTCAAACCTGAACTTATGGCACCAAAGTAACTAAAAGCAACTGAAAACAAAGCTGCTTCTGTCAGGTTGATCTCATGGTTACCTGCCATCCCAGCCGACAGCATGTGCACCTGCGTGGAGTCCGGTTCCAGGACGCCGTTCAGCTTCTCTTTGGCGGTGGAATAAGCGGCGAAGTAGATAGCCCTGTTAGGGAAAAAAAACAAGGGATTAAATGAGCCACGCTGTTGGGTTGTTTTAGCTACAGCCTCTTAATTAAACACTCAGCCTCTCGTTTAATGAGCTTGAAACATTTATTAGGCGAAATGCTGAAGGCACAAATAATTTTACAGCAAAATTCAGCCTCTTCAGACAAACACGGCATTCAGAAAGTAAAGTGCAGCGGGTTCGGTTTAATGGATGCATTTAGTCTGTTAAATAACTAATTATGATCATGTTTAAACATCTAATTATCTATAAGTGTTTGTTCTGTTTCAGCACCCAGGCTGCCTGAGCTCATCCGTCACACCGTAACTCCGTTAGCAGCGTCTCTTTAGCTTTTATGCTGCGACGGCACAATTTGTGTTTGATTTAACTAAACACTCCAGAAACTCTGAGCAGCAGCACCTGCTCGCCTCGGCAGCAGCCCGCCGCCATTAGTCCTCGCCTTCCTCCTCTCAACGGGGAGCCTCTCAGCTTCCTAATCACACTCCGGCTGTTGTTGCAGCGTCTCCGAAGCTCAAACTGCTGAGAAAGCCGTGAGCTAACGACGGCGCGGCCCTGATGCTTCCATGTTTCTAAGGAACGTCCCGAGTTGCACCTGATCAAGGTGCTCCTCGTCTACGTTAGTTAAACAAACCGCTTCGAACTGACAGTGATTAATATTAGGGTGAGCATGGATTTCATTTTGTCCCTCTTTTCAAACGTCTGTTGGTCCACGTTTTATTGTCCAAAAGCAAATTTACGCTACAGTACACAGACATTCGTTGAGCACTAAGACCAAGCGGAAAACCGCGGATCAAGCTGAGGCTCGCTTCCCTGAGTCCCAGGAAGAAGGTTGGTGGGACTAATGGCAGAAAATGGGAGACATACAAATAGGGATGCACGATATTGGGATTTTGGCCGATATCAGATATGCCGATATTTTAAAACTCATGTAGCCGATAACCGATATCGATACCGATGTTAAAGCTGGACAGAAATAAGTAGTCATTGAAAATAGCAGTTTTGTTATCCATTTCTGACACTTTGAAAAATAATATACTCAAATATATTTTCATATGCTGATATCAAATTGATTTTTAAAAACGCGGTATCGATCTATTTTACTTTCAAAATCTCGTGAAATTTCATCGTTCTGTTACAAACTCTCGTGATATTTTGCAAATTCTTGTGAGATTTTGTTAGTAAAATAGATCGATACCGCGTCAATATATCAACATATAAAAATATGGCAACATTTCATGAATTTTCGGGGGATTTCGTAGCATAACGATGACATATAGCAATATTTCATTAGTAAAAGAGATTGATATGGTGTTTTTAAATGGCAATATATCAGCATAGGAAGATATTGGGATATTTTAATGGATCAATATTTTTTCCCTCGTCTTTAGAAGTTTTTAAGTCTGTAAAAAAGATATTTTTGAGGAAGAAGAAGAAGTAGTATATATATTTTTTTAGACTTTAGAAACCCAGAAGCTGATCAAATATCGGGTTAAATATCGGTGGGGTGGCCAATGTCCGATATTCAGTTTTAAGGCCGATACCGATAGGGGGCCGATTATATCGTGCATCCCTACATACAAGAGCATCTCCCTCCATCTGGGGCCCCATGTTAGATCTCATCCTGTGGGATCAAAATGATCATGAGAACTTTGAGCAGAAATCCCAGAACTACAACCAGGAACCGGATGAATGACCGGAGGAACGAAGGCTGCCATCAGTAACACACCAAGCCCAGAGGGACTCGCATCCTGCGGGGCCAGGCGGGGGCCTCTGATATGACGGAACAGGTCCAGACTCATCTGAAGTTTGCCGGAGAACAGATGGATGATGTGGTCAGAACTTTCTGGAACAAACCTGGGGTGTTTGAAGGAGGAAAAAACGCTGCGTTATGTCCCAAGAACATCAAGCCTACTGTGAAGCATGGTGGTGGGGACATCATGCTTTGGGGCAGTTTTTCTGCAAATGGGACAGGATGACTGAGCTCAAAGACCAGAGCGAGGAGTTCGCTCCGCTGCGCTCACAACAAATGTATCGGTCATTAAATCAGACGCCGTATGTGAGCGAGTGTGGAGCGATTTTGCCGAAGCGGCAGGAAAATTAAGGTGAGCGCGGAGTGGATTTTGAGCGGGGCTTCCTGGTGCAACTTTGAGCGGCGGAGCGAATGAGCAAACATCCTCCTGAGCGGGAAGCGGGAACTGCACGGCGCTCCACTCAGTTCACATGTACTGGTGCAAGCAGATATCCATCCAGGTCTCCATAAATAATGTAATTAAGATAAGAGACTTTATTGATCTCACAGCGGAGAAATTTAACTTGTCAAAAGAAGGTGCCGAAAGGAGGAATATTTGCATGGGGTATGTATGGCACGTTCACATATATTAAGGGTGTGCAAAATAATCGCCATGACAATGCATCGCGATTCTAATTTTTGTGATCTACTGCATCGAAAAAAAAAAAAAAAAAAAAAAAGAACAAATTAAATACATGAATGGTTGGCGCAATACAACTTCCAGTCCAGCAGATGTCGCTGCGGATGTGTTGACGCCCGCTGCCTTGTGTCACAAGCATTTCCGGCTGCAGGATACTGCGAAGAGTCATATGAAATAAAACATGGAGGACGCTATGTAAATTCGCCTCGCGGCTCCATCACATTTCAAGTCAGATGCTTGGATGCATTCTGGCTTTAAAAACAAAGAAGGTAAAAACGAAATTGATATGACGCACGTCATTTGCAAAAGGGGAAATATACATTTGAATGTTTTCATTTCATTGTTTTAAAGCAGAGGTCTTCAACAGGGGGTCTGTGACCCCTAGGGGGTCCGCAGAGGTACTGCATGGGGGTCGCAAAGTTTTGGTTAATTACTTATATTCCCCCCTGCAATATTTTCCACTAATTGAAATGTCTTTAAATCTACATTAACATGAATCCAACAGACTGTAGTAAACAGATAAATAGAGGCAGAAGATTTAAGGTGACGTATGTACATTAGGATTTGGTGTGTAGGAGTTCAATGATTTTTGTTGATAAAGTGATCCATCTTTCATAAAAGCTGTGAATTTATTCCATATATGCACAGAGCTAATTGTTTGAATCAGACCTTCATCTGTAAAGACTAAAAACTAATCAGTTTGATCACTACTTTTCTAAACAGTCAAATAATCCATGTTGTTGTTAAAGGTGTTCTCTATAAAGGAGGGAGAAAGCTCACCTGGAAGGTGCCACGCCCACTAAATTCGGCCCCAGGCCTCTGAAGAGAGATCGAGCGCCTTCTTTCTTCAGAATCAACCTGATTAGAAAACACAAAAAACACATTTATTTCACCCCAAATCACATCAGTTTAAAGATTGAACACATTTTTCTTACAACTATGTTGGTCTAAACTCTCTGCTTTGATGTTTTCTGCCGTTATCTGTGAAGAACCTGAGTCGTCCAGGTCATGGTGAAGCTTGAAAGGTTTAGTTTATGCAACGTTCACACCTAAAGCAGCAGAGGCAGCAGGAACAGCTAGTTTACATGCAAAGTCAATGGTTGACGTGCATCACGGCGCAGCAAAAGGTCCCGCAGCTCGTTTTGAGCAGCTGAAGCAGCGGTGCAAACGCACTGCAAACGCAGCAGCAGCTGCTGGAGTTTGAAGAATTGAACTTTAGCTGCTGGACGCGCCACATCGACCAATCAGAGTTGACATGGGAGCTGGCAGACACAGCACTGCTGATGCAGAGCGCTATGATCACTCCTCTGAAACAGTTTATTAACGCCTAAAGTAACTTAGAATGTAGAAACCTGCCGGAAAAACATGTCGACTTTGGTTCCTTGGTTCCTGCAGTTTGGATTATGTACATGAAAACGAGGCGACCGGGCCACGGGCTGCTGTTGAATGGGATTCCCAGTGACAGAGCCCCGCTGGTATGTGGGGGTCTGAGCGGCTCCCATAGAGAAATAATCTTTGAATCTGGATGAACTGACAGACCATGTTTTCAGGAGGACTTTCTCACTTCAACATAGATTCAAACTACTTTTTATCCACTGATCACAGCTAATATAGCTGCCATTGTTCCAGGCAAAGAAAGGACAAGGTAGCTCCGCCCAAAGCGCATCAGACCCGCTTTTCAGCCGTGCAGCCAGAGAGGCTAAGATGCTTCAGCTGCGCGTCAGAACTAAACTTGTACATCAGAAAAGAAGCAGCATATGCATTTTTAGCTGCTCTTGCTGCTATAGGTGTGAACGTAGCATTAGGGATTTGGACGTAAAGTTTTCTAAAGTTTTGCTCCCCCTACAGTATATTAATCTGAGTGCTTCCCACCATCAGTCAGAACTGAAGAAGCTTCTTGGATGAGAGGAGAAACATCTTCTCGTAAACTTCACCTAAATTGAACTTTTCAGGTTTTCTGGCTTTGGTGACAATCATATTTTTGTCAACACCTCTGTGAAACCAAACCAAATTAAAATAAACTTAACTCCAACTTAACAGCAGAGGACCTCTGACTTGACATGAAGCAAATTATATAAAAAATCCCTTATTTCTGGATTCACTGTCAAGGTCACTGAGAAACAATAAATGGTGTACTTTTATTTCCAAGGCTCTTCTTGGATTACTGCCCTCTTACATTTGTACCTTATTTCCACAGTAAAGCCCTGAGATCCAACCATCAGCTGTTCCTCACTGTTCCTTTTGCCCGCACAGAACTGGGGAAGAAAGCCTTTAGCTACGCCGCTCCTTGTGCGTGAAGTTTTTATCTTTAAATGCTTTTAAGTTGAAAGTTTAGGAATTTGAAGCAGCCTCAATGATCTGTAATTGTTTTACTTTGATGAGCTCCGATAGCTCAGCGTGGAAAACAGCAGATCCCAGGCTGTTCTCTAGATCCAGTCTATTCCTCTGCTTGGTTTTAACGCCTTTCACAGCTGAACTAAAACATAAAATAAAAACTTACTTTTTGGTGTATAAAATCTTTTTCAGCAGAGTCCTCGGAAAGCAAAACAGATCCAAGCACTATTTTATTTTACTACCTTATGCTACGCTCAGACCACAAGCAGCAGGAAGAAGGCGAACAAAGAAGCCAAACGAGCCCCATTCCAAGGGATGGACCCGTTTCTATTTGCATGCTTTCTGAACAAAAACCAGGCTTTGTTGGGCTGCTGGATAAAACCTGGAACTCAACGCTATTTCTGACATTTTGAATTGAAAAAGCTTCCTGGATGGAAGAGAAACGTCTTCAAATTAGGAAACAAAGTCCAGTGGATTGTTTTTAACATTTTCTGAGATGACTATGACCTGGTGATGACCTTCACCAGCATATTCTCTACAAAATGTAGAGAATATGGGTCTAAATGCAACTCTGCATCCCATCATCCTAAAATGATGGTTTATTTGCTCTAGTTTGTGTTGGTCTATCCCATTAAATCCCAATAAAAGTATAAATGATTGCAGTCGTGACTTGATACAAACTGTTCGGAGGTAAAGAACTTCTGCTTTTCTGAACAAGAAAGGAAAGCAAAGCTTGGGGCACCAACTTGAGGCAGTGCAGGGGTCCTGGTGGAGACATGCGGGCCACGCTGGTCCCATTGACGGTATTTATCTGAACCTCAGACACATAGAGGGTGATGGAGGACGACTGGAGACGAGTCTTTACCACTTCCAGCGGACACGTCACTATGGCTCCAACCGTGCCCCCACATCTGGGAGAAACACAGAGGTCACAGGCTGAAGGCAGGATAATGAAGACATTAAATAAACATTAACATCTAATTAAAAAATATATATATTTAGCTTAAAGCAAGAAGAGCATGATTTAGTCTTTTATTACAGTGAATTTACTTCCAAACTTAAAAATAAATAAAACCCACGATAGGTCAGCAGGATAGAAGATAATAAAATGGTTATTCATACTGTTTTAAAAGCAACACTTAATAAAGCTTTCCTACACACGTATGGAAGGAATTTTCCTCCGTTATTGTCGCAAAAGTTCTAAATTTAAAAAAAATTAATTAGAGCTGAAAAAATTAATCAGGTTAATCGATTATTGAAATAATCGTCAACTAATTTAGTCATTAATTGGAGTATAGAAACTCTAAAATATGCCTTTAGCTGACAGATCAAACCCCTTAGAGCAGGAATTATACCTAAATAGTAAAATTATATATTAACATTTTGGATTTAAGATATAAACATTTGTTTTCCTCTGTCAATCTGCTTTATCCAGACCCTCTTGGAGTTTAGCCCTTTATCACAGCTGCACAAAAGAAATAAACCAAAGACATCTTCAGAGCGGCCAGTCAGCATCTGGACAGAAAAAGTTAGGAGAAAAGCCCCCGGTGGAGGACTTTATACAAGCCTCTAATCAAAAAACGATATGCTGATCTCCAATGGAGAATTTCACAGGGCGCCATCGCCACAAACTTGTTTTTATCCGTTATTAATGGGGGTGTTTTAAACCAGTGGCCTTTCTGCAGCCTGTCTGAAAATGTGTTCCACGTGTTTATGGAACGCACAAGACTAAAGACAAATTATCAATTCATCTGGGACATTTTTTTCTTTTTTTGTCTTACAAATGGTCTTTTTATAGGAGGAGTTTGCCGGAATAGAATAAATAAGCCAAAGGCCCGACTTTTAAATGTATTCATCAGTGAAGCAAAGATGGCCGTTTATTGTCCTGCAGAGACGGACTGCAGGAGGGAGCTCACCTTGATGCCGTGGTCTGAGGAGGCTAAAGCCAGAATAAGGCTGGAGTTTCACTTCCACAGAGACACACAGAACATGGAGGATTTTATTCAGCTGTGGGGTTTTAACATTTTATTTACCGTGTCAGACGAAGGACAACTACAGTTTAACAGGCTCCTCGTTTGATGATTTTTAACTGTCACTTGCTTTACAATTGATTAAATGTGTTGAATTTTATCTAAATAAAGTGTTGTCAAAAGTCAAGATTTAGTTTGACCTGGGTTTTTTTGTAAATAAATCTTTAAGAAAAATATTGGCTGTCCGATTATTAATGGATTAATTCCAAAAATTGGCAAATAAATTGATTTGCAAAATAGTCGTTAGTTGCAGCCCTAAAATAAATACTAGCTGTAAATGAAACATTAAAAAATACGTCATCAAAAACAGGTTTTGAGAATAGCTGCTGGTTTCTTAAATTTATATTTTTTTAACCTTTTTTTTTTTATTGTTTCTCGTATTTAATAAAAAATGTTTTCTGACATATTTTCAAGTTCTATTCAAGACAATTCCTCATTTTATCGTTTTCATTTTTTTAAAAAACACTTTTTTAACAAGTTTTGATTTTGTTTTTCAAATGTTTGATCTTTTTTGAAAAGTAAGAAGAATGCAATTTGTAAAACTCAGAAATAAAAGAGATAAGAAAAAACTAAATAATGTTTTTTTTTATAAAATGTGGAAAAAATAGCAAAGAAAACCCCAAAACTTTTTTATTAAAAAATTTTTCAAAGTTAAAATTCTGGATTGCATCTTTTTTTTTTCCATTTACAAAACTTTTTTTTAATTAATTTCCTACAGATGCACGAGTACGGATTTATACTCGTGCATATTCTCCTTTTTCAAAGTGAATATCCTGCTGGTAAGAAAACATTTCAAGAAGCAACTCGGCTGTATTATGATCGCTCTAATCTCAGGCAGGCTGATAAAGGAAGGGAGCACAGAAACCACCTGTACATGCGCTCCACGGTGGAGCTGATCCAGGCAGGACTGCACCGGGCTGGGCGGAGCCGGGCCAGATCAGAGGAAGGAGCGTCACATGCAGCTTTCTCTCATTATGGTTAATTTTCAACCCACGACAAGCAGACCAACACGGATCCGGTTTGATACTCGAACCGAATGCCGCTACTGTGCAAAAACTCGAGAAGCCTCACTAGTCAGCGCATGTGGAGATGAGCTAATGTTTGAGTTATTTGACACGTACCAAATGGGTGCAGGTCTCACCTCTCAAAGGATTATTTGTTTATTAAATGCAGCTTTTAAAAGTGGGGAAAAAAACAACATACGGTAATTTTAAATATGGCCTATCACTTTTCCACATCTAGTTACCCCAGTATTAAAATAAAACTTTTAAGGACAGATAGCAAAACAGTGCTCAGCACTTTATCCCTTCCACTCCTCTTTTTATTTCTTTCATTTTATTTCTCACACGGGGCCGGGTTTTGATAAAGGTTTTAAGGGAGCTTTTATTGTTTGGGAGCAACTTCTGCAAAGATCAGGCACTAAATGCAACCTGGTCTCCTGAGATCGATAATTTTTTACCATAAGCATTAGAAAATATGTACAAATTAGCTTATATCATAGGACATGTTTAATGACAGCTTCTTAAATAACTGCATATACTGATTTTAGGGCTAAAAAAATAAGATTAATCGATTATTGAACTAATCGTCAACCAATTTAGTAACCGATTAATCATTAACTGGAGCATTAGAGATTCTAAAAAATGCATTTAGCTGACAGAGAAATCCACTTACAGCAGTAATTGTATTAAAAATATAAAAATATACATTAAAATTTTTGATTTAAGATAAAAAAAATCTGCTTTATCCAGAACTCCTCAAGTGGAAAAGTTTTAGTTCCATTTCCTAAAAAAATCCTCTATTAGGAACTTTTGGCTATCTGATTATTAATAATTAAAAAATAAACAGATTAATAAACTAATTTGCAAAATAATCTTTAGTTGCAGCTTTAATTAATTAAGCTTTTTATTAGCAACCTTGAGATGACATTAGTTCTGAAATAAAGACTGCAGACAAAACTAACTCACAGAAGATCAAAGCAGCGTTTAAAATCATTTTTAAAGAAGCTAAATCTGATTAGCCACTAATCTAACCAGGTAAGAAACATGCAGATGTTTTATTATTTATACTTAAACTCATGGCGAGTTTCTCATAAATGCTGTTTATTATAAAAACTGTTCATGCCCAGATATTTTAATGTTTTATCCTCTCACTGACATGCTTATAAAACCCAGGAGTTGGTTGATAAAAACAGAAGGCGTGCCTACATGCTAACCATCTCATTCATATATAACCGTCATTGAAGTGGCAGCGCGTGCCGCTGGATAATAAATAATACAGCCGTGTTAGCTCGGAGCTAACAGGCTGGTGTTTAAGCTAACCACATTAAATTACACATCTGAAATTATTCCACTAAAATAAAAACAACGCTGCTATACTGGGAAGCTTTTAACTAGCCTTTAGCTGCTAGCACAGAGCTAACTAGCTTAGCCTAGCTGGCGTACATGGCTAGATGATACTCACCCTCCAGCAAACAGGTGAACTAAAGTATCTCTCTGACTCATTGTAGATCATATTCGGGGACCGTCCGCAGGGCGCCGCTTAGCAACGGAGGGAGCTGAGGGTGTCAGGCCGGGGGTGAAGGGGCAGAGCCGCCCCTAACGACAGAACAAGCGGCTCTCTGTTCGAGGTCAGCTGCGTACAATCCACAGCAGGTAACAGCTACTCCGGCTAGCTGGCGTTAGCTCGGGAAGCTAACCGCTTTCCGAAGCTAAAGGTTGATGTCGCAGCACGAGCTTTAGCGTCTCGTCCTTCTGAAAACGGGAAACTAGTTTATTTTTCTGTATTGTAATAAATTATTTCCAGGGCTGGACCTGTTCAGGGGGGAGGACTGGCTATGTCTGACCTCCTCACGTTGACGTGTTTTGCCTCACTGTGTGCTCAGTGGGAGGGCGGGGCGCCATGTTTGTCAACCAATGAGAAGCCGCAAAACAAAAGAAGCGATTGGCTGAAGGCTGCCTAAGCCCCGCCCTGTCACTACTCATTCACGTGATAGCGGCCTTTATTATGAAGAGCAGAGATCAACGAGGCTATCAGATCAGTTTGCAAGAATCATTCAGAAAGACCCTGAACCCCACACTGCTCCCCGCAGGACCCACAATGGCAGCCCACTGCTTCCCCAGGGGATGAGTTTATGACAATAACACGCTGGAGAAAAAAAGGAATCCACTTTCAAAGTCATAATAATGAGTTACAAAGTCAATTATAAGATAAAACCTCATAATTATGAGAAAAAGAGTCATAATTATGAGATTCAAAGTATTTCTTTTAATAACACTTTTAAGCTCTGGTTTACTCATGTTAATTATTATTTCAGTCTCATTCCGGTTTGTCGACTCTACTTCTTGTCTCCCATTTAATTTCCTTTCACTCCTATATAAACAGGAACCCAAAGAAAAACTGCCGTTAACCCCATCATCTGAATTTAATATAACATTTGTTTTATTTCTAATAAAATATCTGGACTACTATTATACTAATAAACTTGCCTTGCTTTACCTTTTTTTTGCAAATCTGTAACTTTGCAAAAGGAATTCTTCATTTTTAAGCTTGTATTCTCACAGATAAAACATCAATGAAATGTATGAACATGCTGACAGGAAACAAATACAAATCTTAAACATAATCAACTGTATTGACCTAGATTTACAAATTTGAGACATCTAGGCAACACTTTTTATTGACAGTTATCGTAATCTTCCTTTTTAGTTGCTTGGTCTGGAGTTTTTCCATCAAAAAATAGGATTCCATTCAGCTTAGGTAATAATCTGCAGCAGCATTTTGTCTGATTCTGCCTTTCATATTGCCTGGAAGTAACGTGATTTAACGGAAAGCAGCGGCACATGATTTTAAGCAGTTGAAAGGCATGAGTAACTATAAAATTAAAGGCCATATGAGTTTTATTCTCCTGTCAGATTGTGGAAACCTCATGTTCAGCATGCCGTAGAACTTTATCACAGGCAAATCTCAAATAAACCACCAACACAGGGAGCAGCTTTCAAGGTGGGGTGGAAGTTTGACAGGAGGACCCAAATGCAGACTGAAGCTTAAGAGGCTTCTTGGAAATTTTATTAAACAAAAGTTCAACAGAAGCAAAAATCCAAAAAATAAATCCGCAAAAACTGAAAAACAGGAATACTCACAAGAAGGGGGCAAATAAATGATGACAAACCCGCAAAGAGTGACTGAACAGGAGGAGAATATATGGGAGAGAGAAACAAAGACCAGGATAAATAGCAGATTGGGAGCAGGTGTGAACAGAGGAGGCAAGAAGGGAGCTAGGAGAAAAAGAGACTGACACAAGAGGGCAAAAAAGAAATATCTAAGAACTAAAATACAATCAAAAATAACTAGAACACGAGAAGGGAAATAAGACCAATGAAAACTCAAACCATGACATCAGCGTTCTGGATCAGCTGATGGACTTTTTAGGCAAACCTGTGAAGACCGTGTTGCAGTGATCAATCCTAAAGATAAATGCATGAAGGTTTTTCTAGCTCCTGCTTATTAGTCCTTTCATTCTGGAGATGTTCTTCAGGTAAAAAGCTGATTTAGAAACTGCCTCAAAGTCGTAGTGAAATCATATTTAAATGTCAAACTATTGTAGCTTAAACATGTATATAAATGTACTCTTTATCAGACTATATTGTCCCGAAATTTAGAAAATTTCTATTTAAAAAAAATCCTGTCTTTAAATCTGCATCTTTTTTTCATTATCTTCTGCAGGCCAGTTAGTTCTACGTCAGCCTAAACACCTAAATTCGGCCAATCATATATCAACAGTCATCTGTCAATCGATTTTTTTGGTCATAGCATCTTGATTCATATATCATAGCTAATATACGCAACGGTTGAAATAAGATCTTACAGGTGTATAGTTGGAGAGCAAATTTTTTATGTCTGCTTCTGTCTCCTTGAACCCCAGTCGGCCGCTCACACTGAGCCTGGTTCTGTTTCCTGTTCAAAGGGAGTTTTTCCTCCCCACTGTCGCTACAAGCATGCTTAGTGTGAGGGATTGCTGAAGAGTCAATGAGTCGATGCAATCAGCTGGTTTTCCTTAGATAGTAAACTTAAAATCAATCTCTGGATGATCTGGTGAACTGGAAAGTGCCTTGAGATGACGTGTCATGAATTGGCGCTATAGAAATAAACTGAATTGAATTGACGATAAGAGCTATCTGGTCCTTCTTTAACCAAAGCAAGTGATGTGTCCATGCTACACTGCAAAGAATTTAAATCTAAATAAGTCCTGTTTTCTTAAAATAAGTGTATTTTGCCTTGAATTCAGGAAATAAGTGAGACACTCTGCCAATGGAACAAGACAATTTACATTTTAAATAAGAAAAAACAATTTCATTGTCTTATTTCAAGTGCATATTATCTAATTATCATATATTAAGAGTAAAAATACTCATTCCATTGGCAAATCATCTTATTTAACTACTCAAATTAAGGATAAATACACTTATTTTAAGAAGTTTTGTTCCTATTTCTAGATGTTGTTTCCAGTGTATCAGCTTAAAGATGAGAAGGTTCCTCCCACAACCTGTCATTGAAATCTCTGCAAAGACATTGTGCACAGATCTCTAAGTCGGTGTATGACTCTGTGCTTCTAGTATAAAAGTGGATATGCAGCCAACCTAACATGACTTAAAATCATCCAACTATAACAACCTCGCCTTTTGCTACCAGGCCTCATGCTGAGAGATGAACAATATGATTAGTATACCTCCTAACCACTGCCCTCATAATGTTCATTAACAGTAACCCTTCTGTTAGATTTTGGTTGGCTTCCCATTAAAGTCGTTACATAATCCTCTCTGCTTTCACAGACTTTATTGCGTTAAATGCTTAAAACTGAGGGAAAGGTGCCTCCTGCAAGAAAATAAAGTAAAGGCCACAGTCTAGACCACTGAATGACTTAAGAACACATCAGTTTCTGTGGTATGTTTCATTTTTAGGACTGTATATTTAAACATTTGCAGTCGAACTTCTCCCAGTTTGGTTCACATTTTAAATGCACATCATCCAACCGCTGCTATGCATTCAGGTTAATGTCTCTTCACCGGAAAAAAAGGCATTTTTCCTTAAAATTAAATGCATTTTTTTCTTGAATTTAGGAGGTAAGTGAAACAAGATGAAGTGAAGATAATCAACATTTAAAATAATAAAAAAAAAAAACAATTTCATTGTCTTATTTCAAGTATATATTATCTAATTACTTTATTTTAAGAGTAAAAATCCTCATTCCATTAGCAAATCATCTTATTTAACTATCAAATTAAGGGTAAATATACTTAATTGAAGACATTTTTACTTATTTCTAGATCGTTTTTGCAGTCTTCTCACACTGTGCCTGTGCTGAGCTGCTAGAAATCATCCTTACAAACTTTAAAAGCAGCTTGTTTTTCTGTTTATACCTTCATTTTCTTTCCTATGGTAAAGTAAAAACCCCGAGCATTAACCAGAGCCGTGTGTGTGGAAAACGCATGTTTGCTCTGTTTGTTTTGGCTCTTGATGCAGAAGCCAACATCTTGGTTCCACGGTCTGTCCAGAACTGGACAAATAAAAGGTTAGTCTGAACTTTGACAGCAAACATTCTTCTGTGGCTTTTAGCTGGTCTCTGAGAACAAACTCAATCACAGCTAAAAAAAGATTAGCAACCAAAGTGTTTGTACACAAGGAAGAATAACAGAGTCTTATAAAAGCTGCCCAAAAAAAAGGCATCTGTGAGGATTATTTAGAGGTGTAAGAGCAGGTAATAGGTGCTTAGAGCAAGGTTTAAACTGTTATGACAACAGGAAAATTACATCTAGAGACAAAAAAAGGCACTGCAGTTGAATTTTGTTTGTGAAAAAGTTTGACTTGACTCCTAAAGTTTCCCACCAGGACATTCATCTCATCTGCTTTGGGTTTGTTGGCCCAACAAATGAAAGAATTCAGCTGAAAACACAGTAAAGCAGTCTGCACAAGTCCAACTGCACAAATATGCACCAGCTTTCAGCCATGAAACTGTTTTTTACCTGGGGGGCAGGGTGAGCGGATTTAGAGCAAAATTATACAACAAAAAATAAACTAAGCAGCAGAAAAGTTTTAATACATCAAGCGAGCCTAAAAGCCACTGACTGCTTTGGGGATCCAGAAGTTGGAAATTGTGATCTTACCTCTATAAGGCTGCTGCTAACAGTGCAAAACAAGTCTTCTGCTGTTCCCACTGTAAAGGGGTTGGGGTTGTGATGATAGCAGGGGATAAAAAATTGCTGCATTCTAGGTTTTTGAAAGCTGAAATCTGAGTCCCCCCCCCCCTCTGTTTAAGATTGTTTTTTCTTTCTTAACATAGATGGCTTCCTTCACGCCCCTCTCAAACCACCTGTCTTCTTTGTCCAAAATGTGAACATTCTGGTCCTCCAAAGAATGTCCTTTGTCCATACGGTATAGATGAACCGCAGAGAAAATTAAAATGATAGGTGGTTTGAGAGGGGCGTGAAGGAAGCCATCTATGTTAAGAAAGAAAAAACAATCTTAAACAGGGGGGGACTCAGATTTCAGCTTTCAAAAACCTATAAAGCGGCAATTATTTGATCCCCTGCTATCACACTGGAAAAAAAATCGACATCTAGATAAGTCATTTTTTCTTAAAATAAGTGCATTTGTTCTTGGATTGAAGGGGTAAAAGAGACATTTTGCCAATGGAACGAGATCATTTAGACTTATAATAGGAAAACAAAATTGCATTGTCTTATTTCAAGTGCATACTATCTAATTATCTTATTTTAAGAGTAAAAATACTCATTTGATTGGCAAACTACCTCATTTACCTACTCAAATCAAGGGTAAAAACACTTAATTTAAGAAAATTTTTATCCCTTTACAGGAG